CATGGATTGCTACTGTTCTGTACCATGATTGCCACCATACAGCTCCACCGTAGTCCCTTATCACGACTGGGCAAAACAACAAAACAATGTACCTCCAGAATAAGTTCCGTTTCTCCAATCGCTTTTCGCTCGCACACTCTCCAAAAGACATTCAGTACCTTGAAGGGGCTACATTAATCAATTACAAATTATATGTGTAAGAATGAAATGAAACCGCACCAGAAAACATGAATCCAATAGATCCGAAATTCTCGTACGATTCATTCTGGCTGCTCATGCTGGCTTTTTCCAATGTCTCTTTCAAAGTGAGCTGAAAACAATTTACCCTTTTTAGCTGCTGATGGGAACACAGCCCAGAAGATTTTTCTTTTGATCACCGCAGGATGTGCAACATATATGGTGACAACGTAATGGCACATAAAGCGCGACTCGACCTTTGAACACGATGCGACTCTCAATACGATGGAAGAGCTGCAGATGGTTTGACATGGCTGCCTGCGGCAAGATTTGAAGCTTCAAAAGACTTGGGTAAGCTCAAGCAGCGTCAGGAAGGTTTATCTTGAATTGGTCCATTCTTCACTTGATGACTTTGCAGACTTCCAGTTAAACAGTGTCTCAAAGTAACGCTCGCTCATCAATTCTTCGGTGACAATGCGCATTATCACGTGGTGCCCGCCTAGGGCCCTTGTCACTCAACAGTAACATTGTCCCGAAAAACAGTAAGTTTTGATCAAATTTTTGAAAGTGAGCATAAAAAATATATACCATTTATAGTGCCCAATCCCCTTTTTGGAATGCGGCGCATGCCGTAGCTTCCTCATGAGTAAAGGCGTAACAGAACTTTTTTAGTTAGGAATTTTTCACGCACTGCAGTTTCCTGTCAAAGATAGGAGAAAACAGAGAAGTTTCAAGAGTTGACGAAACTCCCACCTGTTTTGTTGGATCACCTCCTACCATACTCAAAGATGGATCAACGGAAGCAGTGAATAAACCGAAAGCCACACCTAAAACAACATATTCAAAGTGTGAGTGGAAAAAATATCAACAATTATTGATGTTTTGGCTAGCAACAATCGCTCCATCCAAACACAAGAATGTTTCGAAACACATATTCCCACTTTTCTAAAACTTTGGGTATAATATGCTCAAACAGTGAAACAGAAGAATTTTCTTCCAAAAAACTCTAATTAGAAAAGAACACCATCGAAGCAGCTTGCAATATCAGCGTTGTGTTGAATAGGTCGTTTTCCCTTCATGTGTGAAGTGAGGAGCATGATTCCGGATGATCAACGTGTGGGTACAAAGTTTAAAAGCGTAATGGGTGGTGCTGTAAAAAAAACTATCACTGGCCTTTAGTGCCGGCTGCATGTTTCCTACGTACCTGAAGAGTCTTGATTTGTTTTCTGGGCCGAGGGGAACGTGTGATGTAGAATGGGTATTTTTTTGACAACCAAGCTGTACTGAATGGACCATTCACGATTAACCAAAACCTCCACAAATCTTCCCAAAACAGTGTCCAGGGAGAAAGTTGTCGTGGATGACGTATGGTTGGCTGTATTCCCTGTAAGCTAAGTCAGTGCAGAAGCATTCTCGAAAGATGTTGAAGTAATGCACACTTTCAGACACTTGCCCAATATTGCTCAGGAGGCCGACTTCTGCCCAGAAAGTGGCTTGGCCATACTATACACAACCGACCCTGCACATGTAGGGTGAGCAGAGCTACAAATTGCCGGCACACATCAACACATCCTACTGAGTTCCTTCTTCTGAGTTCGTTGCCCCGCAACTATAACACCTTGAGGAATTGATCAAACTCAATTCAGAAGAACGTGAAAAACTGCATATATTCAGAACCTGGTGGCACCACAGTTGGGTCAAAATAACAGAATTTCCTGGAACGCCTCATATTTCACCGCTCTACATCTCTAAATGATATGATATTTCGAAATGATTTAACGAAAGAAGTTTACTAGCAGATGCAAACAGAACTGCATTAGACTTCATGAAAATTCACGAATAGTGAGGCAATTTGTTCAAGACTTCACCATCACGCAATATAGCCAATACAATGGATAATTGTAAGTGAGAGGTAATCCATACCAACTCCGAATCCGAGTACGCCAGCAATCACAGATTTCACAGCACAGTTTTCCATTGCTCGTGAGAGAATTAACTCTTCGCGGCTCATGGGAGGTAACGAAAGGGTCTAAATCATTGTAACTTTAGATTTACCAGAACATATGTATGGCGCTCTTTAGAAAACACTTTGAAAATCGCATCGGAGGCTGCATCAAGTAAGTAAAAGCCATGCACGCGCTGTCTTGAATAATAGGTGTCCGCTCCGGATTCCAAGGCCGACTGCGGCAGCCGATCATCTGGTCAATCATCGTCACGTAAGCAGAGGGCTTGTATACAAATTCCTGTTATGTTCAGAGTAAGTAGCTGAAGTTGTTCTGACAAGATGAAACTGCTCCTTTTAGGCTATTTCAGCAAAACAGCGCTGAAAAACATCCCAAACCTAATTTTAGCTGAAACCATCCCAACCAATAATCTATAGTTGTTTTGAAACCAAAGCTTCGACCGATAGTGACCAGGTTTCAAGGTTTTGCCGGTTCTGCGTGGTGTTCCAAGGGGAATTCCACGATAAGGTAAAAGGTTGCAGGAGGGAGAAGTTACCTAATGAGAAGGCAGGGAAATCCAACAAGGGTGCGAACCAACACTCAATTCGCAGCGAAAAATATGCCCCCAACGACCTATCATGGCCCTCCTCGCGGCGCTAGCCGTTTAGCAGAGAGAGCGTTAGCGTTGAAGAGGGCAGCACCGATGAGAGTCGCATCAATGCGGAAATCAACGGGCAAGGAAGGGGTCCCATTTCTCGGGTTTTGGCAATTTCTCATGTTTTTTCTTCATCCCGGTACCACCGACCACCTCTAACTTGATTAGCTGACTGCCCCTTAATCGTAAACCTCGCCTTCAACATCGGTAGAGGAAAATATGTATACATTCACTAGCCAGGACATGTCCGCTTCGAAGGGTACTTAAGATTGTACACAGATTCAACAAGAATATCACTAATCTAGCCCACTTTGTGTAACCAATTGCCCAGCACATATAGGCCAAGATGCCGCTTGTGTGCCATTCATACTACATTTATTGTATATATTGAATAACCGATCTGAAAAGCAAATGCTCCTTCGATACCAATTTCACGCACCTGCTTCTGCGGTTTGCTCTCAGGTTTAGGAGGGAGAAATGGATTCGCAAAGATTCTCTCAAGGCGTTCCTGCTCCGACATTGCCCCACTGTGTCGGATCCTCAAACGAAACAATGGAAAGCACAGTAAGAAGCAAAGCTTGAATTGATTTGAATAAATACGCTGAGAGCGGCTGCTTGAACGGACTTTTCACAGAACTTAAATATTCATGCCGTGAAAACATGAAACTTCACATTTATTCAACAATTCAAAACTATCCAGCATAAAACTATAATAAAACAATTTGGACACTGTTGCTGAATGTTATAACGATTATCGAAAAGATTGCCAGCCAATGAAACTATCTAATGAGATATGCAAAGCGTTTGTGGCAAAGCAATGACTTCTGAGATGCCGAATTTCACCCATAGGACAACACAAACTACTTCAGTACATAAATAAATACAGCGGGACAACCGCACTAACGACTAGAAAGGAGTAGTAAGATACATGAAATCAGTAATAAAATTTACTCTAAATGAAAAAGAGCGGCACAGGATAATCTTGGATCATACTATTACTACATATCATCAAATATGTTTTTCGGTAGAGGATGTTCCTTACGAGGTCCACTATTGTGTTCGTGACTCACTGGAGGAGGAAGCACCCATGAGTCATAATCCGAATTTCCTTCTTCAGCAGATATAATAGGTTGTTCATCTTCTGGGAGATGTCGACGACCCGACCGAAGAGCTCCTGAAAGTTATCAGTGCTCGGCTGAACAAGTAAATGGACCAAGTTGGTGAGTTTTCCTTCTCTAAGAGGATCACTATAGGCATATTTCAAGACATATCTTGCAACACTTAAAGGGGCACAGAACAAAATAGTCGTATAAAAGGCTCACGGTAAGCTAAACCGCTCCAGTTTAACGGAAAAGTGTGTGAATTTTACTTTATCTGAATTTGGTTGCTTCTAGCTACGCCCAACCTGGAATCCTCGCTACTACTCCTTGAAGATGGGAATGAAGAGTCCACCTAGCCCCTGAACGTAATAATTCCACACTTACCCGCTCCCTTCCGGAAGTGCCCCTCCTAGCTATTAGAAATGAAAAGGGCATAAGATGACACGTTATGTGATGTGTGAAATCATGTGAATTATAGGCGGTTACCCATCGTGAGTCTTGTAGGATAGTGAGACATGTAGTCGGATAAGTCAAGTTGGTTTCCACCGCCGTAGGCCGGCGAAATCGCATCAAATTAAGTCGTAAAATGACAAACCTAGACGACCAGTCCACTGTTCTTCTCGTCTGGACCGCTCTTTTTGCCTTCTATGCGCGCTCCTTTCCAATTGCACGAGGGCTCGACCAGCTGTCACCATGTCTTGCGTGAATTCGTCAGACGCAACAAACTGGTCAAAACCAAGACTGTGTAATAGATACGTTCCGAGCCTAAACTGGAAATTGATAAATACGAAATATAATATCGAATGACACTCTCGCTCACTTATAGTACGTCATAGCACAGAATATGAGGATGCATATGGGAAGATATATGTTGATTCCCTTGGCAAGAATAGGTAGAACATCCAGATGACCCATCAGCTGAAGTTAAATCTAACAATTGAAGGCAACGGCAGGAGGAGTATTCTATGTACCGCTTGCCAATGAACTCAATCAAACGAAGTTCAGAATTATGTCAAAATCACCTTGGTGAACTGAGTTTCAACGCCAAAGTCCTTTGCCATCGTTATATGAGAATCCAAATGTATCATCCCAAGAAAATTCAAACATATTGGCGGAGTCAACCGGCAAAGGAGGCTTAAATGACGGTTTCAGAGAAACTGCACCAAAATAAAATGATACTTGCCTAAAACTGAAACAAAAAAAATAAGAAAACAACCTGAATAGACTTACATTGCACTAAATAGCAAACTATTTCCATCAGTATGGCGATTTGGATCCAAATGATAATACTGGTAAATCTTCAGACGGAAAACAGTGAAATAAGCACAAGAACACAGATAACAAATAATGCCCATCGCGACAAGCTGTAATTTCGAAATGGTAATAAAATCTCAACTCAACAAAAAATACTAGCTAACAAGACAATGGATTCGCTGTGATACTGCCCTCACCACTGTACTAAACTGATGAACTCGAATCTAAACGAAAACTCAGAACAAATTTTTTTTCTTTTCAGAACATCAGCTCCTATCGCGAATTACATTTGAAAGTTTTAAGAAGGTGAAATGAGGGATACTGCACTGTAAAAAAAACATTCCAGGATGCCTCAAGCTCGCCAAAGTTACCGTCACTAACGAAGAGATGACCCTATTCCCTGCACATGTCTTGGAATCCTCAACGGGCCGAACGCCTTCGACGTTCAGCTCTTCCAGTGTTCCGACACGACTTCAAAAACGTCAGGGGGAGGGACTTTGTCAAACAGCGAGAAAGGGTCGAAAATTGAAATTTCGGCCGTTCTTTAGCTCTCTGGGGAAGACGAGAATTCCGATACGTGAAACGAGACATTCAGCCAAAAAAAAGCCTCTTTGCAAAAAATGCAAAACTATTAGGTTGTCCTTAAAGTCTTTGCCCATTTCCATGTGTATGTTGTGAAATCTTCAGGGATAATTTTTGAACATCCATTGTAAAACGTATGTAAACCCTAGTCAATGATCTCTTCAGAGCATTTCTGCCGTGGTATTTCGCAGCGATTATGGCTGAGAAAATCGACTTTGACTGAAAGCATATTTGGCTACTCTCGATTCTACAAGAGCCCTACACTTGCGATGGACCTCCAGAGCGTCTTTCACGACATGGCAAACATCTTGGTTGCCGATGTCCAGAAACTCGAGAAAAAAGCCCAAAGTCGGTCGGCTTGTTACCCTGAGTGACGAGTGTCTTCTGGAGTTGTTTGGAAACAGTCTCTGGTGCAATGCACGGTAACTGACACAGCTTTTCCACAGTTATCAGAACACAATAGCCATTCCTCAATAGCTCCTCAAAAAGAAGAGAAATTATGGCAAAAGGGGATTTCGTGATCTGGGTGACAACCGCCTCAGAGCCTTCAGATTTTGCATGAACATTTTGATTTACCGTCTGTATCTTGTTTGACCCGACTACTTTGTTGGTGGTAGCAAGGAGTGGGTTCCTCAAGTAAACCACACCCGCGAGCGCCACTGGCTCAGACGCGTAGAACCAGAGATTCCGACGTCCATTCCAGCACTGCAACTTGAGAGGCAACTTTCAGAGTTGGTAAGCTGCAAGCGATTCGTTCACTGACAGCTCCTACCAACGAACTGCACTGCTATTGTTGAACGATAATATGGGCAAACTGATGGCTCCACCGGCACTATGCTTGGAAAACATTGCAAAGTTCACTTCATCCAAGCAACGACCGTCAAGGAATTTTGAAGAAGGTCCAGCAAAAGTCTCCAAGCCCCTTATGGGATGTTCTGTCTCACCATTGTGTTCAGCAGATCTGGCCCCAACAGAATACCGTCTGCTTCTGTTGCTGCTGATTCAACTAAAAAGGGAGAGCTTCATGATCCGGACTACTCGAAAACGGACTTCTTCCAGTTTTTTGCCTCGAAAGCTCAGGACTTCTAGGCAAACGGCATCACAAGTCACCTGCTGAAAGGCAATATGTTGACGATTACGATGGGGCATATGATTGTAAATTGCTGACTGGGCTAAAGAAGAAAAGTGGATTTGAAAAAAAATTACAAATGATCAGAGACTTTCAGGACAACCTAATATTTAAACATATTTTCCAGACTTCTCAGGATTGTTCAACAGAATAAAGTAAAGTCAGCGTCTAGCACGCAATTATTTAGAAAGCAACGAAACAAGATAGTCTCGTTGATGTTCACTTAAAAAAAGCAGAGCCATGTGTGTACCTGAGTGTACTTGTAGTGAAACCGCTTTGCCGCGTAATCCACTATGATACCAGCAGGTGTCAACGTGGGGTTTACAATAAAGAATGTACATTCACTGATCAGAATCAATATTGTCATGAAAGCCAACAGCAAGGAGAGTAACTGAAAAAGTGATAAATCTGGGCAAGGATAGTGGTACAAGTTTCAGTGGGTGAGAGTTTGCGCTCTGCTCGCCATACGCCAATTCCACCAAAATGACTCAACAGGGTTTTAAAACATTCTTAATCGATAAACAAATTGGGTTCTAGTGAGTTCTCTATTTTAGAACTGCTTATATGGGGAAAACGGTGTAACAGTAACAGACATCGCATTATTACGGATTGTTCCCAGATTAAATATATACTGGATCTCGCTGGTTGGATAAATGATTCAGGAATCGGTGACCCGGTAGCGTAACATGGACCGCACTTGCCTTGTAAACGAGAGATGCAGATTCGAGTCCTGTCTGCGGCGGAAGCTTTGCTCACGCCCAGTATTCTTGTGAGAGTTAGGTGGGTATTTAGTAAGTACCTCTCAGAGACAATGATGAGCTGAAGTTCGTCAATGAGCACTGATGATCACCACATTTTTACGGCTTACAACTCACCCCACCCCTAACCGCAAATGACATGATTAACCATTAGTATTCCGAGCATATGCCGATATAAAGAACTCTGATGCAAATGAAAATCACCTTGCAAAGTGGACGCTGTGCTATGATAAGCCAAAAGTACTGCACTTTTTCTGGGAACAAAATGTGTGATTCTAATTCGAGCCTTCCGGTGATCTCTGCTTGAGCCAGATCTTCCAAAAATAAAGCGTGTTTGATGAGTGACCTAAACATTGCAATTTCAAAAACAATAATGTTATAGAAATGTTCTCACACTAACTCATTAACACCCGAGGAAAAACCACAACCATGCAACGCACACAATCGTGATATTTTCGCATATTGAAAGAACGCATTGAGGTATGCAAAATCCTGCTGCATCCCACTTTTCCACGAAAGATGGAACCGATGTAAATGCTAACATCTACTAGACCTTTAAAAGTCATGACTTTTTGTCATTCAATTAGGTCATTTTAATGTGTAGCTTAAGCTCACGTATCTAGGCATCCTTGCCAAAATTATGAATTAGCTTTGCGATTGTTATTACATGGACTTTAGCATTTTGCTTGCATCATGATAAAGACCACATTCGAAAATCAAGTTCATCTTTGATTGTCAATGAAGATCAATTAAATGCAATCTTTCGAAAACATTCGCCACTATGCCTACTTAGATAACTAGTCAAGGCGATACGAGACGAAGTTCCAGCTTCAGGTGGCAATAAAAACAGTTTCATGATATTACCCGAGTCTAGGCGGCGACTTGAAGTTTGTGCTTATATGATATTTTTGTGTACCAGTTCTTCACGAGACGAGTCCAATTAATAAACAACTATCGCGGATAATTAACTTCTGCGAGAACTAAACGGAGTGAATCTTTGAAGACTACCTCCATTGGGCCGTGGTTCGATGATGGTACTGAACAGCGGAGATCACTTTCTTATGAAGTCGAATCTGCAAATTCCATGCTCAGTACATACTAGTAAATAAAATAGATGCAAAATTACCAGGTATTTGTCGGTGCTGACAGAGCTTACATCAGCCGCATTAAGGCTGCTGAATTCCATAGCATTACGAGCAGGAAACAGCTCACTGACCACATGAAATCAAACCATTTCAGTGTTTTTCTCAGTTACTGAACCACTAATCGCAATAGATTGAGCCATACCTCTTCCGGGAACTTCGACACTATTATTTGTGCTTTTTCCCTTGCACCGTGCTCGTTTTTCAAGATGTTCAGGACTGCGCGAGTCTCCCTGAAAAATGCCATAAATTTCGCACTTCCATACACATAGGAAAACAGTCTAATGCACCTGTATGCTTCCTTCACGGCTTCTTCTGCTTCATTTTTATCAGAAGACAATTTATCGATATTAAAATATGTCACATGCAGTCGATACTCTTAATTGATGGAACAGTAGACATGATACTGAACAGCGAAAATCACCAACGAACCTCTGCTGCCCATGTGCCATAACGTTCGTGGAAGTTCAACGAGTCCATGTCCGAGCAGGACAACCAACAAAAACAGACCCCATGTGTTCGATGCGGAGACAAGGATTACTTTTAAGTGTTCTCTAAAAAACGTAATAAATTTAGAAAGCCTCACCGAATCTTAGTCAGTAAAGTATTAGTGGTTAGACATGACCAATTTACAATCAGTGTTGTCTGGTGTAACATAGAAGCAACTCACCTATTGATTACAACACCTTTGATGATGGCATAGATCAAAAGTAATGTGAAGACAATCATGTATAATCCATAGTACACAGCGTTATTAAACAATGCGGCTCGAAGTTTACCAGAAGTTTTGAAGTCTCCAGCATTCACATAACTTTGCATGAACGGAAGTACAAGCCTGAATAGCATAACTTAAAATTAATTCCCGATTTGAAAGGAGGGGCTAATAGGTTTTAGAATGAACCATTCAGAGGAAAATGGATAAAGCAGTC